GTCACACAAGTTGAAAGACACACACACATGATGATCGATACTGAGATAACAATTTCAGTTTTCTTGCTGGAACTGTCATGAGTGTGGTCATCATTCATATTGTTATTATATATATTGTGGTCAATCGGTGGCACTTGCATGGTGGCTTTTGAAGTGGGTGTCATCTCTTGTTCTAATACACTTGTTGATGTAATGCTGATATGTTGGGTTCTTGTAGGAACCAGAACCCTTGCGATGGTCAAACCAGGAAGCAAAGACATAGAAGTAGCATAATGTGAATGGGAATATGTTGCTAAGGATGAGACTGATAACGTACTGCATGTAGTGGTAGATGAACTTGCCATCTGATGTTCATCTTTATCCTTCTGACATTTTGAAAAGATGTCTTTATCCCTCAAGCAGCTTGGGCAGGAACTACAGGGAAAACATTTATCATTTGTTTTGTTCCGATAAAACCCTGCTTTGCAATCACATTCTACATCCCTGTCACGCGTGCATTTGTTGAGTACACGCTCATGTTCGCCTGCACACACTCCACAAGGTTGACATTGATCAGTGCCAGAACTCTCTGAGAAATTTGCACCATTGACACATAGCACGCAGTGAATTTTTGTGCCTTCAGGTACAGTTTCTCCACATTTAACAGATGAACCATGACCATCTAAACATTCCGGACAAGGCCAGCACTCTACACATTTTCCTGTCGAGGGATCAACAGTTTTGATGTACTGTCCAATACAGTTTGGACACTCATAACTTTTACTTGCTAAACTGCTGACTGATGAGAAGGCCACAAACACCTAAGAATAAAAGCACAGCAACAAAATCAAACGTTAACCACTCCCCAAACCAGCAAGCGTTATAAATGCCCTTATCAGAAAATATCGACTCTAATCAAGATCAAAAGGCCATACCAGTTTGGATACATGCTAACTTAGATTGAGTCCAAATTGAAAACTCCACTCGATCTTTGAGGTAAAAACCTGTAAAACTGACCAGTGACAAAATTGAAGTGGCCAAAAGACCGGTCCCAAAACACTTTAAATAATCTAAACTGCCGGAATATAATAGCCCCAAAACTATTTTTACAGGTTTACCATACTGTTTTCCGAGCTGAATCATTCCGAAAATCTCGATTGTGAAGTGTTGTGGACGAGCACTCGACCTGTTTGAAAACAGCCTGGTAACAAAACTTAGCAACCCGTTATAAAGCTTAACTCTGTAACAATTAATCTTATATCTATAAAGAAAAATCTATACTAGCCCCATAACTCAGACTGCAACGCGCCGAACACGAGGCTGTGCACAGACAAATGTAATCCGATCGTCCTTACTATTTTTGGATCGTAACTGGTAAGGGCCAACCAATGCTGGCAATTAGAGTTTCGAATGAGTTTGTACAATAAAACTTACCAAAATCGTCAGAAGTATTTTTCCTGAAGTGCACGGCCTCTTGCGCAAAGGAGTGAGACTAAACACAAAGCTCATCGTCTTGAAGCAGAAAACGGAAAACGTACAAGTGCTATCAATATTTTTGGTTGAATTAACTGTAGTAACAACCCAAGTTGATCTTATTTGGGGTTGATTACAAACTGCAGATTTATATCATGTCGTAAAACTGCTCGCACTTCCTCATATAAACATATCTGATGATATAACACGGTATACAAGGATATTTCATTCAACCACGCAGTATCTCAAACAAATGAAAACTTTTGCACGCGAACGTTCTAATGAATGTATTGGGTCAACACATGAATTTAAATTGTGTGCATCGCATGATCCCAGCCGGGGATTCCCCTTCATCAGTTGGACGATGATGTCACTATAAGAACTCACGTATATTTGCAACTTTGAACCAAGTGGCTGTTTATGTAG